ATTTTTATGTCAATCTACATGCATTACTGCACATTTTGATGCAATAAAAATTTCACCGTACACCACCTTTAATTTTTGCTCGATTTTCGTGATATTTTTGCCAACTTCTCTCGATTTTTCGGCTACTAATTCTTTCTTGCTCTTGTTCTCTTGAATTTGCATAACTTTCCTACTTAATTTCTGAATTACAGAACGATTTTCGCGAAGAAAACCCCGAAATTTGCCCTTCGACACCGACATCGAAAACTGACAAACTTTTCTGTATATTTCTGCTTTCGTTGCGTTTCAAGCTTATGTTTATATAATTTTTCCAATGTTTCTTCCTTTTAATAACTTTATTTGAAAAATTTTCAGGCATTTTCATAAAAATCCTTCTAAATTTTTTAAAAGTGTCTTTGCGTGTCGAGACTCGAATATTTGATTTTTTGCTGATTTTCAGACATTTTCATCGAGATTTTCAGTATTTTTTCGCCTGGAAATTGAAACTTTTAATTCAATAAAACAATTTACGATATCAGACATGCCGGCTACAAAAAAATCCACCTTTTTTTCTATTGATTTCTTTTGTTCTACTAGTTTTTGACCAACCATTCTATTAATTATGTACCGCGAAAAAATGTTTTCTGCGGGAATTTTGAGAGATTGCGGGAGATTTCGGCCAATTAAATAATTAACTCTCCCAACTCATTTCTCGTCATTCTTCTCAACAGGCGACCACCTTGGGGAAACATCCAAAAGTTTCCAGAAATCGGCGACTATTGAGATGTTCTCTCTTTTTGAAGCGAGGTTTTTTTCTATACATTTTCCATAACATAATTTTAACCAGCTGAGAGGGCAGACAAGTTTTGGTTGCCGTGAAGCGCATTTATGCGAAAAGGTGTTATTATAATCACAGAATAGTATCATCATAGTGCTATGCCCGACTGCAATTGTTGTGAAACATTGGGTATTCGAATTGTTGTAGTGGTAGTAGTCGTTGTGGTTGTACAAATTACTTTTTGTTTCCACACTATTTCTATTGATTCTCAGCTTTCCGAT